AAGAAGAAGAAGAAGAAGAAGAAGAAGAAGAAGAAGAAGAAGAAGAAGAAGAAGAAGAAGAAGAAGAAGAAGAAAGAAAGAGGAAGAAGAAGAAGAAGAATCCAATTGTTCAGTCACATTTAGTCACATTTCAGGCACTCAGCCATCACATGTGACTGTGGTGATTGCCATTTTCTATAGTACGTAACAGAGCACCCTACCATCATAAAGGTTCTCAGTACCATTCCCTCTGCAGGCTTCCTTTTCTTGGTACCTACCCTCACTGTTTCCAAGTATTATCCTCCAAGGTCTTCCCTTATTGCTATAGCAACCTTATCCACTCTTTGCTAATCTTCAGCCCATCACTCCATGAAAGTCTTAACCTTCCAGATCTGGGCACAAGCTCTTCTTAAGTAGCCCAAGATGATCGTGCCTCACAATTCTACCTCTAACCCTCCTGGGTGCTGGGACTACATACCTGTATCTCCACACAAGGCTTTAGTCCACATTTTTTAAAAGTTATAGCCAGCCGACGGGGGGAGGGAGGTGTGCTCACCTGTACTCTCAGCACTCAGGGAGGCAGAGGCATGTGGATCTCTGTGAGTTTGAGGCTAGCCTAGTCTACAAAGTGAGTCCAGGATGGCCAAGATGACACAGAGAAACCCTGTCTTAAAAAAAAAAAAAAAGCTATAGTCAGCATCTCCAAGGTCTTGGGTTTGATCAAGAACAAAAACTACTGTGTACTCATTTCGCCCCTTTCCTGTTCCTTGCTGAGGCTGTGATGAGAGAGAGAGCATAGGACACTGTAAGTTTCAGGAATGGTGGGAGCAGGGAAAGCTGAAATTCGGGTGTGGTGTGCTGAGCCAGGATAGCCTGAGTTCTTTTGTCTTCTCTTTGCAGTTTTCTAAGTCAGGACCTCTCAACCTGTGGATTGCAACCCCTTTGGCAAACCTCCATCTCCAAAAATACTTACAATTATGAATCATAACAGTGGCGAAAATTATAGTTATGCAGTAACAATGAAAATAATTTATGGTTGGGGTCACCACAACATGAGGACCTGTATTAAAGGGTCACAGCATTAGGAACAGTTGAGAACCACTAAGTGCCTGTGAAATGAATACATGTGTATGCATGTTTTCTGTGTGTGAGCTTGAGTGAGTGCAGGTGCACATACGTGTATAAATGTGTGTGCACATGTGTTCAAACATGTGGAAGCTGGAGCTGAGCCAGGTGTCTTCCTCAATTATGCTTTAGTTTATTTGTTGAGGCAGAGACTCTTGTTGAACCAAGTCTGCCTAGCCTGCCTTGCCAGCTTGCCCCCAGATTCCCTTGTTCTGCCTCATAGGGGGATTAACAGGCAGCTGCCATTGCTGCCTGGTTGGGCTTTTATGTTTGCCCAGCGAGTGCTTTATCTACCTAGTCATCTCTCAGATCCCCAACCCTCTTATGAGACAAGGTCTCAGGTAAGTGAGCCTTGAATTTCTGATCCTCTTGCTTCTACCTCCCAAGTGCTGGATTACAAGTATGTGCCATCGTGGCCTGGCTTCTTAATCTCTCAACCATCTCAACCATCACAAGTGATTGACTCCACAGCCTTATGCGCGCTGGCACCACTGAGTAGCTCCCCAGTCTTCACTCAGAATTCTAAGGATCATATCTATCAGCCTGGCTTGTCCCAGTGTCTGAACTATTTTTACTGTGTGTGTCAAAGTGATTTATGGATTACAACAATGAACTCTAGTTTTGAAAGTGTCTTTTCTTGATTACTAATGTCTAGTAAATAAAGTCACCATAATTATCTCTATTCACACATTAGTCAGTTATGTCTGCACAGAGTGGAAAGCTTAAATAACCAAAATGCATTTTCTTGCTGCTCTACAAGGACGCTGGTCTGTGTTGGGTAAGGGCCCTCAAAATGATCTCACAGTAGTTTCACTTAAAGACGTTATCTCCAAACATAATCACACTCTGAGGTCCTGGGAGTTAGGGGATGAGCCTGTGGGTTCAGAAAGAACACGCTTGAGTCTGTCTCACTATCCCAAGTGCTACTGACTTCACTGTCCTTGAGGAGGCTCACGTTTTTCCATGTGTGTGTATAGAATGTGACGGATCATGCCTCTGGTCACTTGAGGAACAGCATGGACTCTGCGCATATATTTACACTTATAGTGAACTGTTCATACCGAGAAGGAAGTCGGAGAGCAACCCAGGACTCATAAGCCAGAGACAGAAAACACTAGGGCCAACCCAAGGCGGGCTGGCCAACTTGCAACACCTGCGTCAGGCTGTCCTTATAGCCACGGCAGTTTGCCTCTCTTCTTTAGAATTCCACCGGAAATCATGTTTTCATAATGGGATACTTTTCTTTGACCCAGATATCAGTGATACGTCATGCCTTTCCCTCCACCACAGCCCCAGAGCAAAACAGCCCCCCCCAGCACCCTGGTCCTGAAAAGCTTCCTCCGAGAGAGTGACCATCTTGAGCGGTGGAGTGGCTGCAAAAACGAGCTAGGGAAAGTGGGGTCCTGGAGCATGGGTGCGACCATGAAGGGGGGGGCCTAGAGCATGGGTGCGACCATGTTGCCAGCCACTAACACCACCCTTTGATATGTGGGGACAACACCTGTGGGATCACCTCCTGTAATATGCAGCCCGGACACCAGGTGGAGAAGTGAACCCCACAGAGGAGACAAGGTCCCGAAGAAAACCAGGCCCCTGCAGCCATGGGGACTCCTAGGGCCAGAAAGAAGGAAGTAAAGGAGGCGAGGAGTCTGGGGTCAAAGTCCAATGTTCCAGGCGTACCAGCAGCCCCCTACCTCTAACATAAGTCTGCACTTACACTCAAGATCCAATGTGAAGGCAGAAGAGGAACTGTGACTGCGCCATCACTCATGGCACTCAGTTGCATCCTCTAACCTCAGGTGGTGCTTTGCACAGAAATATCCTTTGGAACTGAGGTTTCCAAGGAAAACTCATCAGCAAATTCAGGCTTGGGTGGGGCTGCAGGAGGGTTTACAAGAGCAGCTTAGTGATCACAAGCTTCCCCAACTCCACCTTTAGTCCTCAAAAGCTATGGCCATGCCCAGCCCAGCTGCAGGCTGTAGGCCGCCTTCTCTCAGCGAGACTCTCTGGGCTCTTGAAACCAGCAGCATTTTCCTGACTTCTAAAATGCTTAGGCTTTTGTGAACCTCAGTGTTCTGTCCACGCTGATGGCTCTGAACCTCAGAGGTGGAGACAGGGAGTCTCTGTTTCAAAGAACAGCAGCTTGGGCAGTACTAGTTCCAGGAGCTGGTTTGGGTTGGGTGTTGGGGGAGGGGAGTTGCTTTTTCAGAAAAGTGGTAGAAAAA